AAACAGTTTATTTTCACGGGGCGACCGGCCACTAGAACGCCAGTGGGACGGTTTTTTCACCGTTTTATCTTACTGGATGACTATGAGATACTGGGAGGGTACTGGTTGAGTTACTGGATACTTTTCTCCCACAAGTATACTGGTTGAGTTACTGGATACTTTTCTCCCAGTAACTGTCACAAGTATACTGGTGTAGTTACTGGATACACTACTCCCAGTAACTTACAAGTAAGATCAGTAACACTGCTGCAGGTGGCGCGACGTGTTGTCGGTGCGACGTGCCAGCAGCGTGGTCCTGCCATATTATAATTATTATTATTATTATTATTATCATTATTATAATTATTATAATTATTATAATTATTATTATTATTATTAAAGTAAGATGAGTAACGCTGCTGCAGGTGGCGTGACGTGTTGTCAGTGCGACGTGCCAGCAGCGTGGTCCTGCCAGACACCGTCACGGTGACGACGAGGACATGTGAACATCACTTGAGCCTCCTCACGAGGACACGTGAGGCCCTGCAGCTCATGGAGGGCCTCCTGGGCCTCAGCATGCAGCAGTACGTGCCTCATCACCATGCTGTATATATCAATGAATAAAACATGAATGTTATACAATGAATAGAACGTGAATGTTATTCAATGAATAAAACATGAATGTTATACAATGAATAGAACATGAATGTTATTCAATGAATAGAACATGAATGTTATACGACATACATACTATACTATCTATATTGAAGCAATATATATATACATACTCTATGCAGCTCGACTAATTTCGGTAATTTTGAGTATAACGTTTTTTGTTTTAAATAAATAATGTAACTATACGCTATACATACTATTCTATATATATTGAGGAAACATATATATACTGTAAGAAGCTGCTGCAATTTCGTTTCGAAATTATTTTCAAAAATTATTTCGTTTCGAAAATTATTTCGGTAATTTTTCCTTTTAAATAATTACGGTAATTAATTTTTGGAGAGATTTAGAACGTGTGAAATTAAGAAGAAAATATNCCCATTGTAACTTTATCCCTGCACAGGGCCCAGGCTGGCCCCACTGTAACTTTATCCCTCACAGGGCCCAGGCTGGCCCCACTGTAACTTTATCCCCGCACAGGGCCCAGACTGGCCACACTGTAACTTTAACCCTCACAGGGCCCAGGCTGGCCCCCACTGTAACTTTATCCCCCACAGGGCCCAGACTGGCCCCACTGTTACTTTATCCCTGCACAGGGCCCAGGCTGGCCCACTGTAACTTTATCCCCGCACAGGGCCCAGACTGGCCCCACTGTAACTTTATCCCTGCACAGAGCCCAGGCTGGCCCCACTGTAACTTAATCCCCTACAGGGCCCAGGCTGGCCCCACTATAACCTTATCCCTGCACAGGGCCCAGGCTGGCCCCACTGTAACTTTATCCCCTCACAGGGCCCAGGCTGGCCCCGCTGTAACTTTATCCCCTCACAGGGCCCAGGCTGGCCCCGCTGTAACTTTATCCCCCACAGGGCCCAGGCTGGCCCCACTGTAACTTTATCCCTGCACAGGGCCCAGGCTGGCCCCACTGTAACTTTATCCCTGCACAGGGCCCAGGCTGGCCCCACTGTAACTTTATCCCTGCACAGGGCCCAGGCTGGCCCCACTGTAACTTTATCCCTCCACAGGGCCCAGGCTGGCCCCACTGTAACTTTATCCCTGCACAGGGCCCAGGCTCTGTCTCTTATACACATCTAGATGTGTATAAGAGACAGGGAATGGATCGTGCTAAAAAACAGTCGCGTCGAATATCCCAAGAGAGAACTCTCCTCCTCTTAGCTCCTTTGGCAAGGGTTTGAGCAGGTTCGGTCCCGCTACGGAAAGAGATCCTTCCTTCATCCCGCTGATCTTGGACGTGAAGGTCAGTTTGAACGGCCTTCAATTGCCGCACCGCTCCCGGCTTAAGTGGCGCCCAAAGCTGGCAGCAGTACTGCAGAATGAAGAGCACGACTCTGAAATGTGCAATCATTGGCTTCGCTTCTCTCGTACCAATTGTACTCGTTTACATTCCGAGGTCACGAACACAATTTCTGAGCCGTCCGATGCNCCATGACACACTTGTGCCATGACCCACTTGTGCCATGACCCACTTGTGCCATGACCCACTTGTGCCATGACCCACTTGACCATGACCCAATTGTGCCATAACCCACTTAGTCATGACCCACTTGGTCATGACCCACTTGTGCCATGACCCACTTGTGCCATGACCCACTTGGTCATGACCTACTTGGCCATGACTCACTTGTGCCATGACCCACTTGGTCATGACTCACTTGGCCATGACCCACTTGGTCATGACCCACTTGGCCATGACCCACTTGGCCATGACCCACTTGTGCCATGACCCACTTGACTGTGACTCACCTGGCCATGACCCACTTGTGCCATGACCCACTTGGTTATGACCCACTTGGCTGTGACCCACTTGTGCCATGACCCACTTGTGCAATGACCCACTTGTGCCATGACTCACTTGGTCATGACCCACTTGGTCATGACCCACTTGTGCCATGACCCACTTGTGCCATGACCCACTTGTGCCATGACCCACTTGTGCCATGACTCACTTGTGCCATGACCCACTTGTGCCATGACCCACTTGTGCCGTGACCCACTTATGTCAGCCACTCAGGAGGGCGACGAGGTGGGCGTCGTGGCGCCTCTGAGGCTCGTGCTCAGCGTCGACAAGATCGACCGCCGCCCCCGACGACACGGCGGCTCAGGTGGGTCATCCTGACCCACTTATTATTACTAGTACCCGAGAAAAATAAGTGTGGCACTTTGTCCAAACAGTGACGCATTTATTGCTCATGTGTGGGTCATCCTGACACAGTTTGGTCCAACAAAAAGGGCATATCAGTGTTTTTTAGCGATTTTGTTATTATTATTATTGTTAATATAAATTATTATTATTAAACGAAAATGAATTATCATTATATCAAATAATCATTAATTAAAAAAGTACACATTGTACAAATAGCTATTGTCGAATGTTCTCTAATTGGGCCTATTTCGGGACTGGGGCCTGTGGGTCAATAATGGGCCCAGTACATGTTATACGATGGCGTGGGGCCCTGTACACATAATAAATGGCCCGCGTGTTGCAGGGCTGGGGCTGCGTGGGGCCCTGTTTGTGTCCTGTAGGGCCCCACACAACAGCTTCCTCTTCAACGACGTCGGCGACCGCGACGTGGTCTGCGTGAGGCTCAGCGAACTGCTGGGGCGCAGCGTGACCCATGCCAAGTGAGTCAGGGCACAAGTGGGTCATGGGACAAGTGGGTCATGTAACCTATGCTAAGTGAGTCATGGGACATGTGGGACATGGCACAAGTGAGTCATGGAACCCACGCCACGTAAGTGTTTCCAAATGCTCGACTTTGTGACGGTGTTGCCAGATACCTGACCCTGAGTTACGGTGTTGCCAAATGCGCGACTGTCGCGGTGTTGCCAGATGCTTGACTATGTTGCGGTGTTGCCAGATGCTTGACTATGTTGCGGTGTTGCCAGATGCTTGACTATGTTGCGGTGTTGCCAGATGCTTGACTATGTTGCGGTGTTGCCAGATGCTTGACTATGTTGCGGTGTTGCCAGATGCTTGACTATGTTGCGGTGTTGCCAGATGCTTGACTATGTTGCGGTGTTGCCAGATGCTTGACTATGTTGCGGTGTTGCCAGATGCTTGACTATGTTGCGGTGTTGCCAGATGCTTGACTATGTTGCGGTGTTGCCAGATGCTTGACTATGTTGCGGTGTTGCCAGATGCTTGACTATGTTGCGGTGTTGCCAGATGCTTGACTATGTTGCGGTGTTGCCAGATGCTTGACTATGTTGCGGTGTTGCCAGATGCTTGACTATGTTGCGGTGTTGCCAGATGCTTGACTATGTTGCGGTGTTGCCAGATGCTTGACTATGTTGCGGTGTTGCCAGATGCTTGACTATGTTGCGGTGTTGCCAGATGCTTGACTATGTTGCGGTGTTGCCAGATGCTTGACTATGTTGCGGTGTTGCCAGATGCTTGACTATGTTGCGGTGTTGCCAGATGCTTGACTATGTTGCGGTGTTGCCAGATGCTTGACTATGTTGCGGTGTTGCCAGATGCTTGACTATGTTGCGGTGTTGCCAGATGCTTGACTATGTTGCGGTGTTGCCAGATGCTTGACTATGTTGCGGTGTTGCCAGATGCTTGACTATGTTGCGGTGTTGCCAGATGCTTGACTATGTTGCGGTGTTGCCAGATGCTTGACTATGTTGCGGTGTTGCCAGATGCTTGACTATGTTGCGGTGTTGCCAGATGCTTGACTATGTTGCGGTGTTGCCAGATGCTTGACTATGTNAGTAGATGTGTATAAGAGACAGCACTAAAGCATGTACAGCATGTATATGGACAAAGTTACAGTTATTTACATGAGTGTCCCCCCCAGGACTGCCCCCGCCGTGCCAGCGACCGCTGCGCCTCCTCTTCGGGGACGCTGCAGAGGAGGAGGTCTGGGATGTATGATATATAATATGATATAATATGATGTATATAATCTTGTATGTGATAAATATGATATTATATAAGATAATATAGGATGTAATATGGTATAACATACTATGTAATATAATATAATCTATTATAAAATAATACAATATAATAAATTATTACATAGTTTTACATAGTATAATATAATATGATGATATGATTGCTTCTAATATAATATAATGATATAATATGATCTAATAATATATTATAGATTCTTTGCAAATTATGTCTGAAATATTATATTGAGAAACATTAAATCAATTCAACTATTATTTATCCCACTAACTTATGGTTAATTAATTTAAATAATTTAATTAATAAATTCCCTATTCCACCAATTATCCAACTAACTAATGGTTAATAAATTGAAATAGTTTTAATTAATAAACTGCCCACCGGTGTGCTGCTGCAGCCCACCGGTGTGCTGCTGCAGCCCACCGCGAGTGGGCCCTGGGAGGCGCTGTTCTCAGAGGTGGGCCGCGGGGTGACCCTCTACCGCACCCCCGCCGTGGTGGGCCTGGCCCGCCGGGGCATCCCTGCCCACCTCCGCCCCCATATATGGGCCATATACTCAGGTGGGGCATACATAAAACAATAAAATAAATAAATATAATATCAATAATAATAATAAATAATCATAATTAACAATAATAGTAAATAATAATAATAAATATAATTGATGTGTCGCCTTTAATTTGAAGGGGCGGCGAACGAGCGGGCCTCCCAACCTAGCGACTACTACGCGGCGGCGGTGGCGGGGGCGGCGGCGGGAGCGGTGGGCGCCGCCGCCGAGGAGATCGAGCGAGACCTCCACCGCTCCCTCCCCGAGCACCCCGCCTTCTGCTCCCCGGTGGGCATAGGCGCCCTCAGGCGCGTCCTTAGCGCCTACGCCTGGCGCAACCCCGCCATCGGTAGGTGGCGTTTTGTTTGTATAGTAGTCCGGGGTGTATATCGGTTTTCTATAATTTCTCTCATAGAAAACTACGGAGGTTTTTTTATAGCCATAACTATTGTAAAATGAATTACACAATCGTAAAATGAATAACTAGTTAACTACCATCGGTAGGTAGCATTTTATTTTTATAGTAGTTGGGTTGAATATTAGTTTTCTAGAGTTTCTTTCATAGAAAACTGCCGCAATGTTGTTTACAGCCATAACTATAATAAAATGAATTACCAACCCTTCCATAGGTTAGGTGACATTTTATTTTATTTCTAACTTAGTTCGGGGTGGATACTAGTTTTCTATAGTTTCTCTCGTAGAAAACTGCCGAAATGTTTATTTTTATCGCCATAACTACGATAAAATGAATAGTCCTCGGCCTTATATGCAAAATAAGTACGATAGGTATTAAAAATATGTATAAAATTAAAAAGCAAAATAAGTACGATATTGGAAATATAAATTTATAAAATATAGTAATATTCTTATCAAATGTCAAAATATCGTCGTTGAAGAGCGCGTTGAACGTAGCAGCCCTATGGCCTATGCCACGCTGGTGAAGGATATGTAAATTTGACCACATTAAAAAATATTATAACACCTTATTTTTATTACAATCGAATAACTTTATTCAACATGTTTGTATGCGTGTGTTACAGGATACTGTCATGTTACTGTATTGTGCAGGTTACTGCCAGGCTATGAACATCGTGGCGTCCGTATNTATGGCTTACTGCCGTCCCGTGTGGCTTAAAGTACTTATACCTGCTCTAGGCGACTAATCGCGTGGATTAGTCGCCTCCACAAATTATTATATAAATATGAATAATATAAATTATATATTTGTTTAGTCGATTCCAAATATTATTGATGATTAACGTCTTCAGAGGCGACTAGCTGTTGCATGCTCCCACAGCAGCTCAAGTTGTTTTGAGCCAGTCAGTAGCGGCTCGGCCGTCATAGTGAGCGCGACTGCGTCGCTCTCTCTCGTGCTAGTGTTAAGTGACTGTGGTGCTTTCGAGGGTTAGGGACGCCTGTCAGAGACCATCAATGCCGTGCATCGAACGGACTATCATGATCCCTTCCCTCAAGAACGTAGCCAATAACACTTCATGACTGTAACATTATCAGTCGTAAGCCACCAGACAGATCACATCCATTGAATTAGAACAATCAGCCCACAGGAAAATAGCCTGACGTAGAATGGCCCAGCGTCGTCTGCCTATACGCGAAAAAATTTTTACACCACCCGGACGGAGCGCGTCGATGCCGTCCGTATATGTCCCGTGTGTCGAATCAGCCTACGGTCGAACGGCCACTCGTCATAGGGCGATAAATTTTGGAACAGAACTATGCTATATGGAACCTAACCCAAGATGATACGAGCTAAAAGTTACGTAATTTAGCTAAGCTGCGGGCTTTCAGTGGTTATACACGGGGTTAGGTTAAGGTGCTTATACACGGGGCTATTAGTTGCGTATATTAGTGGCGTCTACTAGGCAAGGCTAATAAAATTTGTGATGCTTGACGTGTTCAGAGGCAACTAGCTGGTTCATTGCAGGCAGAGCAACTAGTGTTGTTTTGGCAGTCTATTGTGCTCAGTAGCCGCCCGGCCGTCATACTGAGCACAAGTGTGTCGCTCTCTCTCTCTCTCGCCCACTGTAGCGCGCACTACTGTCTTGCTCTCGCATGCATCCACCGTGCACACCCTTACTCGAAAACGTCGAGGAAGGGTGTGTATAACGTCCATAGTGCACACCCAACGTCGCACTGACGCGGGCGAAGCGTACCGAAAACACATACTCGATCGTGTATAGGCTCTCAGCCTGCAGAACTGTGTAGACGCAACCAATATACGCATCTAATAGCCCCGTGAAGCACCTTTAGGTTCAGACCGTTCAGTAGCGGCTCGGCCGTCGTAGTGAACACAGCTGCGTCGCTCTCTCTCTCTCTCTCGTGCATGTGTTAATTGTCTCGTGCTGTGAGTGTCTTGTTCAAACAATGACCGCTATAAGAAGACGTGTAGTGGAGTTTGGACGATATTGAATTGTTTTAGGATATATTAATTGTTTTTGTTTGATATTGAATTGTTTTTATACATATTGTTTTTGTTTGAAATTGAATTTTTTTTTGTTCCCAAAGTACGAATTACTGGACCCTTCTCGTGTATAAACACCTTTAATGCCGCAACTATTTTAGTTGTTAAAAGAACCGTTAATTTTTTAAAATTATTTCCAATTTAAAACCAATTTTCTAGGTTTCGGTCACCTAACTTGGTCCCTAATTTAACCTCTCCCCCCACTTAACCCCCTCCTCCCCTCAACCGTTCAATTAACCCACCCTTTAACTCCTCTCTTCCCCCTTTAGCCCCCGATTAATACCTCATATTCCCCCCNAAACCAGCTACTGTAGTATTAGTTGTATTACTATTAGTATATATATACTAAAAATGAATATAATAATTAACAATGTATTAACACAGCCCTTGTAATAACACAGCCCTTGTAATAACACAGCCCTTGTATTAACACAGCCAATGAATATATTAATATATATATGTATAAAAATAATTATGATTATATTAATTATTATTGAATTAATACAGGCAATGTATGTACCAATACCGCTCATAAATGTATTAACACAGCCTCTGTATTAACACAGCGCGATGCCATACGCCGCTGGTGCTGTTGTGTTGGACTGTTTCTTCTGCGACGGGCCCCGCGTGCTGTTCATGGTGCTGCTGGGGGCCCTGGCCCAGCACCGGGCCCAGCTGGCAGGTGAGAGGTGTGCTGCTGGGGGCCCTGGCCCAGCACCGGGCCCAGCTGGCAGGTGAGAGGTGTGCTGCTGGGGGCCCTGGCCCAGCACCGGGCCCAGCTGGCAGGTGAGAGGTGTGCTGCTGGGGGCCCTGGCCCAGCACCGGGCCCAGCTGGCAGGTGAGAGGTGTGCTGCTGGGGGCCCTGGCCCAGCACCGGGCCCAGCTGGCAGGTGAGAGGTGTGCTGCTGGGGGCCCTGGCCCAGCACCGGGCCCAGCTGGCAGGTGAGAGGTGTGCTGCTGGGGGCCCTGGCCCAGCACCGGGCCCAGCTGGCAGGTGAGAGGTGTGCTGCTGGGGGCCCTGGCCCAGCACCGGGCCCAGCTGGCAGGTGAGAGGTGTGCTGCTGGGGGCCCTGGCCCAGCACCGGGCCCAGCTGGCAGGTGAGAGGTGTGCTGCTGGGGGCCCTGGCCCAGCACCGGGCCCAGCTGGCAGGTGAGAGGTGTGCTGCTGGGGGCCCTGGCCCAGCACCGGGCCCAGCTGGCAGGTGAGAGGTGTGCTGCTGGGGGCCCTGGCCCAGCACCGGGCCCAGCTGGCAGGTGAGAGGTGTGCTGCTGGGGGCCCTGGCCCAGCACCGGGCCCAGCTGGCAGGTGAGAGGTGTGCTGCTGGGGGCCCTGGCCCAGCACCGGGCCCAGCTGGCAGGTGAGAGGTGTGCTGCTGGGGGCCCTGGCCCAGCACCGGGCCCAGCTGGCAGGTGAGAGGTGTGCTGCTGGGGGCCCTGGCCCAGCACCGGGCCCAGCTGGCAGGTGAGAGGTGTGCTGCTGGGGGCCCTGGCCCAGCACCGGGCCCAGCTGGCAGGTGAGAGGTGTGCTGCTGGGGGCCCTGGCCCAGCACCGGGCCCAGCTGGCAGGTGAGAGGTGTGCTGCTGGGGGCCCTGGCCCAGCACCGGGCCCAGCTGGCAGGTGAGAGGTGTGCTGCTGGGGGCCCTGGCCCAGCACCGGGCCCAGCTGGCAGGTGAGAGGTGTGCTGCTGGGGGCCCTGGCCCAGCACCGGGCCCAGCTGGCAGGTGAGAGGTGTGCTGCTGGGGGCCCTGGCCCAGCACCGGGCCCAGCTGGCAGGTGAGAGGTGTGCTGCTGGGGGCCCTGGCCCAGCACCGGGCCCAGCTGGCAGGTGAGAGGTGTGCTGCTGGGGGCCCTGGCCCAGCACCGGGCCCAGCTGGCAGGTGAGAGGTGTGCTGCTGGGGGCCCTGGCCCAGCACCGGGCCCAGCTGGCAGGTGAGAGGTGTGCTGCTGGGNAGGGCACAGCGATGGCCCTCCTCACCTCGTACCTCGCCTCCCTCACCCCCGCCCCCGTGAGTCTTGTACACTCACTGCAATGTGTGCGTCAGGGTCATAAATAGTGATACATTAAAGCTCTTTATTTATACTCGTCACCCAGTCTGGCCAGTTGCGAATGGCGTCAATATTTGGACATTATTGCCCATTGAATTTGATGAGTGGATCATTTATATGATTATGTACCCCTTTCTTTATGTTTTATTGCATATTAATTTACTTCGTATAATAATTATAATGTACTATGATTAATATAGTATAATTTTGTCTGTTATTGCCAGGTTAAGGAATTTTCCAGTGCAGTTCCGGCACCAATTTAATTTTTTTATTCTAAAATACCGACTGAATGTAAAGAAAAAACACAGAAATTTTTTTTAATAGAATCATATTACGATTATTAATTTCAAACATTTCATTTTTCCAGCCCCCAGAAACCCCGCCAAGTAGCAAGAAAAACAAAAGCTCTTCCTCCTTTAAATCCTACGTAATGGTGGACCCACCAACGCAGCCCACATGNGGCTGGGACAGCCAGTTTCCCGGGTCCAGCCAGCCACCAGCCAGTGTAGTGTCGCTGCTGGATGTGGCGTACAGCCAGTATGGCTTCATCACCAACGAGGCTATAAATAGGCTGCGAGCGCAGCGGCGCGTCAGTGTCGTGCAGGCGCTCGAGGACGGCGTCACGCGCAACACGCTCCGCTCCGTCGGCCCTGAATGTCTATTGTCTAAAGAAGAACTCCAGGTGATGCCTAGTTCCTTATGTCATAACCTTATGCAGTATTAAATTATATATTGAAGTGGTATATTTGGCCAATTTTGCTGTAAAATATAAATGAGTACCTAAAGTGTTGCTCAGGAAACTATTCAGCTCAACCGGAGGCCGCTAGTGTAGTAGTGCGGAACTAACTAGCTAGAATATTAATTATTAACTAGTTCCACATCATATATGTTGCCCGATAGAGTTCACAACCTTCATCAAGTGCAGATTATTTGTACAACGTTTTCCGCCATTACCTCAACTTATATTCCTCCGCCAGGCGCTGGTGGAGCTAGTGCGGGGGGAACAGCCCGTGGGAGGCGAAGGGCGGGAGGCTCGACAAGCGGGGCACAACAGGGGAGGGGGGGCGCGCCACTACCACAGGGAGGGGGGATACTGTGTCCCCTACCCCCTCCTGCGCTCCCTACTGCGCCACGCCTCCCTCTGGGGGGGCGCGGATGACGTCACCCTCGACCAATTGGCGGCTAGCGTCTTCCAGGTGACGTGGGGGGAGGGGGGTTATGGGTGGGGTACTCACCATGCAAACGACATTGAAGTTTAATCAACGTTGATTCAAAATACAACGTTTATTTCAACGTTGATTCAACTTAGTTTTCTTTGTGGAGGGAGGTTATAGTTTAGTGGGAGACCCCAATGGTATGTGCGGTACCAACAGGTTATAAGGGTGGGGTAGGGGTGGCTCAGATAGGAGGGGCCTAGGCATGTCGGGGAACTATGGTAGGGTAGTTATGGTGTCAGCTCTTATTTATTAAGCGCTACTTCAGAATCTGGTTATGTGACTAAGGTCGTGAAGGATAAGTAAGACACATCAGTCCAGATAAAGTATCTTGTATGCGGGGTTGTAATACAGAGTTGCCATACAGAAGAATAAGCTACGGCGTCGACCGTAAGGTCGGAGAACTCTACCGACGCGTTACATCGCGGAGCGCTTATCAGCTACTGCGGTGGGCTCTTAATAAGGTTACCAGCCCTTATATAGCATTCGCTTCCGCCCACAACTATGCTCTTGATCGCGTGATCTATCACGTGTCTTACAGATGCTGAATCATGTCATCAATCTCTATGCCTGGTGTCACCTCTGACATCTATCAGGTCAAGTGAATATTACGTCTCAATTATATATGATTTAATCATATATAATTATAATGATTTTAATGAGACGCTAGATTGACACCGGACATGGGCTTAGGATATTGGCTTCTCAGGGACCAGGCCCATGAGGGGGGGCCAGGCCCCGTGGGGAGCCATGACCCATGACCTCCCCTCCCCATGGGGGGCCAGGTCCCGTGGGAGAGCCATGACCCATGACCTCCCCTCCCCATGGAGGGTCATGACCCATGACCCCCCTCTCCCCCCATAGCTGCTGGACGTGGAGGGGGCGGGGGCGGTGAGCTTCAGGTCGGTGTGCTGGCTGCTGAGCGTCCTGAACGGCGGGGACGCCGCCCGCCACCTCCGCCTGCTGTACTGGCTGCACCTCGCCTTCACAACTCGCTAAGTGAACGTAAGTACTTACGCTCTATTTTCTTGTCTATGATTGGTGGATTTTGCTTGAAAGGCCGTCAATGATTGGCTGATGAACTTACGATCTCTTAACTTTTTTTTGAAAGTATGGGCCCAGGTCCGGACCGCGGGCCGTAGTTTGGAGACCGCTGCTCTAGACAAATATTTCGGCGCGGCTACGCGCGTACAGTGTCTTAGCAGCAGCCGTGAGGGGAGGACGTCGAAGATATTTCTCTCGTCAATGCATGCAACGAGTGTTTATTTGTTCTCACCCACAGCACGACGACAGGATATACCATACATATACTCTATAAATAAAATTAAAATAAAGAAAGAAAATAAAAAATAAGTTTATTTGGATTACTTCTTACACTGAAAAATTGCGCGTGAGCACGAAGTCTATCTGTATTAAAGTTGGACCCGCAACGTATGCATCATATATAACCTATTAAAGTATCTTTCTAATCTCATCCGAATGGATTCCAAAAAGGATAAAACAAAGTATATATAAGATTTTTTTAATTTATCTTTTATTTCCTAACGAAACTTTTATCAAGGAGGACGGCTGTAAGTCTCTTGCTGACACAAAATAATGAAAATAAAGTCTAATACACGTCGAATTATTAAATAATTAAATCGATCGTCGAATTCAATAATTATATAAAATCGAATTATTGTATACAATGTATTGTATAATATAATAATATATACAATGTATTGTATACAATATATCCGCGTAAACGCTTTTAGTCTGGCCGTAGCCTAAGATTAATAATTTTTTCAATTAAGTTGGTGCCTGTTTATTTTCCGTATCACTTCATAATTGATCCGTAACCTCATTAATGTTTCGTTTAATAATACTAATTAATAATGTCGATAATGTTTTACGATAATTTCGGCAGTTAAAAAATTTAAAGGCTTAGCACAGCTGTGGTTCAAGGTATAATATGATTATATTTAATAATTATATAATAATAATTAAATATTAGCTATGTCCCCCCTTTACCCCGCCCCCCAGAGTCGCCCCCCAACACGGCGGGGGCGCGGGAAGGGGGCTACGTGGGGGATATTTGGGAGCCCTCGGGGGAGCGCAGTCCCCCATACAAGGTTAGCTTTGATGTCATCAATTGGTTTTAATTATTGATTTATGCATCGAATTTATTTATTATTTATTGGCATCAATAATGAAAATAAAGGAAATACTCTCACCCCTTCACCTTCTCACCCTTCACCTTACCCTCTTCATCCCCCACATCATAATTAACCTTCCCTTCCTGCCTCATCCCCTCCTTATTCTCCACCTTCACCCCTACCCGTCGCCCCTCCCCCTCCACACCCCTCCACTTCCTCACCCCTCTATCCCTCCTTAACCCCATCATCCTTTCACTCCCTCACTCCTTCATCCCCTCACCCTTTCACCCATTTACCCTTTCACCCCCTCTCCCTTTCACCCCTTTACCCTTTCACCCCTTTACCCTTTCACACATTTACCCTTTCACCCCTTTACCCTTTACCCTTTCACCCCTTTACCCTTTCACCCCCTCACCCTTTCACCCCTTTACCCTTTCACCCCTGTACCCTTTCCCCCCTTCACCCCCCTCACACCTCTTCCCCCGTCGCCAGGACGCATACCGGGAGTTCGAGCGGCGGTTCCTGCCCGCCATGGCGCAGCGGCAGTTCATGGCGCTGTGGCGCAGCGTCTGCGCCGTCGTGGCGCCCGACGCCGGCGCCCCCGCGGCGCAGCACGACGCCCTCATCAGCGACCTCGCGCGCGTCGGTGCGTCTCCTGCATTTTATTTATTATTGTTATTTTTATGACGCATTTTTTTGCTCCTTGTTCGACTTTATTATCATTTTTATTATTTTTTACTCTTTTTTACACTTTATTATTTTTATAACTTTTTCCTAATTTTTCACTCTTTTTACTATTTTTTATTCTTTTTTCGACTTTATTAAGAATTTATTTTGATTTTTATGAAGCATTTTTCTGCTTTTTGTTCGAATTTATTATTATTCTTATTATTTTGTGCTTTTTCATTTCTTTTTCGACCTAATAATTATATTTTTACTTTATTTTAACTCATTTTTTGACTTTATTGTTATTTTTACTTTTTAAAGTCTTTTTTCAACTTTATTATTATTTTTATTATTTTTTACTCTTTTTCATTTCTTTTTTGACTTAAAAATTATTTTCATTATTTTGTACTCCTTTTCAATTTTATTATTATTTTATTATTTTTTATTTTTTTATATTTTTGACCAGGTATTTGACTTGACGCTTTTGATTGATTAAATATTTTAATTAAGCTTCTTTGACTATGAATTAAATTAATAGATTTTAGTTCTTCAAGTTTATTTGATTATTAATTTGTTGGTTTATATGGACTAATGCTATTATTGTTCTTGTTACATGCAGCAACTGTCACTTGTTACAGGCACGAATCTGTTACAAATCGGGGAAGCAGCGAGCCGGCACCAATGTACTGACACCTGCGACAACACCTCTTGTAACAACCCTTGTAATAACCCTTGTAACAACCCTTGTAACACTTCTTGTAACATCCCTTGTAACACTTGTGGAGATAACAACTCTTGTAACACGGAGAACGATTACAAGGAACCTTGTAGCAGCTGTAACATGGAGTGTAGCAGCAATTGTAGCAGCAAATGTAGCAAGGCTTGGAGCATCAGCTTCGAGCAGTTGCTGCTGGCGGTGGGCGAGCGGCGGTCGCTGATGGCGGCCCTAAGCGCCACCACCGACGCCGCCCCCGCCCTCAGGCGCATGGCGGGGCTGCCAAGCCCTAAGCCAGCCAAGCCCTAAGCCCGCCAAGCTCTAAGCCAGCCAAGCCCTAAGCCCATGCCACTCGTGGAATTCGTCTTCCGCTCCGCCATATTTTATTCTCATCATTAATGTTTAATAAATAATAAATTAATTAATTGATTAGTAGTGAAGCATGTATCACAAAGACCTGATAGTTCATCATTATTATCATTATCATTGTATTTATTGATTATATTTAATTATGTTAGTCAGGAGAAGGTTTTGTTCGTAAGTTGTATTAGACGAATTTTTTTGCTTGAATAAATTTTGTATTTCTTTTAATCTTGTTTATTTTTAATTGAATTTTTTTTGCGGTTATCATTTTTTCGAATAACTGGGACTTTTTTTTGTTTAGTGTAAGATTTTTTTGTGGTTATAATAATTTTTTCAAGTAAATGGGACTTTTGAAAAAAATTATATTTGTATATATAAAGTCTGTATAAAAATATAAGTTCACAAATAAAAAATATACAAGCCTATACAAGTATTATATACGGATTTATACAAATGTTCATACAGGGCTATACAAATGTGTAAGGCTTGTTGATATTTTACGTATTGTGTAGAAATTTGAATATGCTTTAGATATATATTAGTACTAAATAAATATATATATAGTGAAAAAATATTTCGTTTTCCCCTATCGAACCTGCGAATTTAAAAAAAAAATACCGTGCTATAAACGTCTAAAAATCTACATTTTTTTGGGAAAATTCATTAAATTTTGTAGAAAAACAATTTTATTATAGGTTTATAATAAATCCTTTATACATATTTGTAAAGTTATAATCATAAATCTATTTTGTCAAGCAAGATATTCAATAAAAAATATATTGAAATTTTCGTTTTATTTAAACCTGTCATTCTAGGGGCGACATGTATATTATATATATGATGTATATAAGATATATGATATATATCGTCTATAATATATATTGTTGTTGTTATACAACGTATATTATCGATGATATAAAATTTATCGTATATTATCGCTGCTATAAAATTTATCGTATATTATCGATGCTATAAAATTTATCGTATATTATCGCTGCTATAAAATTTATCGTATATTATCGCTGCTATAAAATTTATCGTATATTATCGATGCTATAAAATTTATCGTATATTATCGCTGCTATAAAATTTATCGTATATTATCGATGGTATAAAATTTATCGTATATTATCGTTGCTATAAGGATAATGAAGGAAGGCTGGGGAGAGAAAAATGTTTATTGCAGCGCAGCAAGGTTAGTACAAATGTTGTGATGACCTTATAGGCCTGTTGTTGTAGGCCTATAACAGTATTGCGTATATTAATAGGCCTATACAAATATAACTTATATTTATAGGCCTTTTATGATGGGCTTATAACAATATTACGTATATTTATAGGCCTATAACAGTATTGCGTGCAATAATAGCCTATAAAAATATAACGTATATTATAGACCTATTGTTGCAGACCTATGAGAGTATAAAGTATATTTATAGGCCTATTGTTATAGGCCTATAAGAGTATTAAGTATAATTGTAGGCCTATTGCTATAGGCTATAACAGTATCGCGTGTAATAATAGCCTATAAAAATACAACCAATATTTATAGGCCTATTATGATGTGCCTATAACAATACTACGTATATTTATAGAACCATAACAAAATTAGGTATAATTATAGGCCTATTCTTTTGAGCTTACAACATTATTAAATATAATTATACGCCTATTACAATATTAAGTAAATTTATAGGCTTACACAAAATATAACGTATATTTATAGGCCTATTACAGCATTGTAGGCCTACAGAGACTGGCAAAAAATTTCTCCATTATCAATAAAAATGCCACTTTTTTCATGGTTAATTAACAATACATTTTATAGTTTAATAATCACTTGTCATTAGTTACCTAATATTCAATTAAATAACTTTACAATTAGTTGGCGATTTCATCATTAATTGATCATAATTATCACTGAATTATCTAAATAACTTATTTAATTATTTATTTATTTAATTATTTATTTAATTCGTTAACTAATCAGTATTCTGTAATTATAAACACATTAATTCTATCATAATTCCCTATATTTAATTATTTAATACATAAATACTCTATTTAATAAAATATTTAAAAAAAACGGCCTGAAACTAAGGATTTTTTTACAATTAGGGAAAAAAACGATAAGGAAGAATTAATAATAAATTAACAAATTAAAGAAGATGGATGTTCAATAATAATTTTTTTCTAATAAAGTAATTAAAATTTATTGAATATTTAATTAACCAAGTACATTTGAGGGCACAATGGCCCTCTAATTGAGTACATTTGAGGACACAGTGTCCCTCTAATTGAGTACATTTGAGGGCACAATGTCCCTCTAATTGAGTACATTAGAGGGCACAATGTCCCTCTAATTGAGTACATTTGAGGGCACAATGTCCCTCTAATTGAGTACATTTGAGCATCATCGTTATCGATTATTTAAATTATTATGAATAATTAAATTATTTATAATAATTTAATAATTAATTTTTTATTAATTATGATTATAAATATTATATATTATCATGATATAACATAGTTCAGTTATATCATATATAATATAAGCGAGTTTGATGGATATACCATGGATATTATACAGTTATATATATGCGTAGGTATCCTTCTTGGGGGGGTAGCACTTACAAGAAGCATTCATAATATATTACAATATAATACAATTTAAAATAAAAATAATTGATTGTATAATTAAATGAATCTATACGTTGCCAAATGAGCGACGTCGGTTCGTATTTCAATAAATTTAATTAGATTTAAATAAATAGTCTAAGAGGCGCCATTGCATAATTTTGTACAGTGTCATCATTTGTTAGGTTAATATTGATTATCCCTTAAGTAGACTGATTAGTTGCAGGGTAATTAGAACTGTACTGATTAGTTTCATCCACTTCGTGGATATGAAGCACTTCTTCCACTGGGTAAGCTGCAATGGATGACTCAGTGGGTATTTCCGCAGAAGTTTCCACTGGCCCAGCAGCGACTGAATTTTCGGTCATTATTTGTGGAGTTTCTACGATAGTTTCCGCTGGTTTCCGATTACCTGAGTAATCTGAGCCAGGTTGGATATTGGTTTCCACTGGAATCGCTGGTTCCTTAACCTTCATGTTTCCATTTGGAAACAATTTCCAGTCCTTGCTTGTTTCCGCAGGGGAATGTCCATCTGTCCCTTCAATGTCCACATGGTTCGTGGATGTCCCCGAATTGGGATATTCGTCGGGGTTTGATGAGAACTCGGCCTCTGGACATTTCGGTTTCATTTTGGAGTCCCCATTTTCGGAACGGATTTCCGAATGGACATCTTGATTTCCTTTAAATTTCGCCATTTCCCTTTTTAAGGCCATTTCTCGTTTTTTCAGAGGTTTGGACCGAACTTTTATGTTTCCATCATCTGTTTGACATCCAAATTTGTCGGTACCAACGTTCGAGTTTGCCACTTGGCAACTTCCCCCATTCGTTGAAATCGCATTAACTTCACCACCATTTTTGTTCGAGTTAAACTCTTCGCCAATTTTAACTTTATCTTCTCCTCCGAAATTCAAATCATTTCCGTCATATTGATTAGGTATGTCTTGTTGAATTTCTGCAGAATTCGAATGAAATTCGTTTTCAATTTTGAATTTATTGGCCACATGGTGAATTTTGGGGGATGGTGGGTGAGTGGGGGACGAGTTCCGGACTGGGCGAGTGGGGGATGAGTTCCGGACTGGACGAGTGGGTGACGAGTTCCGGACTGGACGAGTGGGGGACGAGTTCCGGAATTGACGAGTGGGCGACGAGTTCCGGACTGGACGAGTGGGGGACGAGTTCCGGACTGGACGAGTGGGTTGAACCTTCTTAGATAGTCGATTTTGGGCAACTTTTCTATTTTCATCTTTCAAAGAAGAATCGATTGTTTTAGTGGGTTGAATTACCCGTCGTTGGTGGGCATGGGTTGGGTTTGAGTTGCTGGGGTTAGGTTTACTTGAACCCCAAACGCGGGGCTGAACGAACCCTTCAGCGCTCACAGGTTTCACCTGCTCGAAGTGTCAGTAAGCGGTTGGTTAGTTAAACTAGTGGTTGATTGGGCTACTGCGTAACTAGTTGATTATGTTAACTAGTGGTTGATTATGTTATTTCCTAAGTATTACATTAGGTGAGCTAAAATGTTGATTAAATATTATTCTATTCCTCAACTAACAATCACTAAAACCATCCCCCGGCAGAGGGAACTAACGCGTTGGTTAACATCATAATTAAATATCTTCATTAATTCTAATGACACTCATTAATACTCACGTGTTTTCGCCGCTGCTTTCCTGAGTAGACTTCGGTCTCGTGAATAGCAGCAGATGTTTTCTTCTCAATGTCATTCTTTTCTTTTGATTTTGCTCGGCTGGAGACCAACTGAGATTTTCTGTTAGTTTCTTGTCTCTCTTTTGCATCTGCTCTTTCAACTTTCTCTCTGGATTGGGATTTAGTCTCGGTTTTCTTGTCAAATTTCGTATTTTTAGATTGATCGGTTAACCGGTGGTTTAGGTATTCGGGGTTATCGGAAATTTTGCCACATTTCTTCAATTTGTCAACCTGTCTCTGTTCCCGATCAGTTTCGTCTAATCCTCGAGTATCGTATTCTTTTCTGCAGTTTTTAGTTTCTGTATCCTTCCTATTATGTCGTAATCTTCCCTCCAGTTCATTAGGATCCCTAACGGCTCCTTTCCTATCGTGTCGTGATCTTTCTTCCAGTTCTTGAGGATCTTTGTCAGCTTCTCTCCTCTTGTGTCGTAATCTGCCATCGATTTCTCCCGATCTTTTTTCTGTCCACTTTGCGCGGCCTTCAGATCTCGATCGTTTCTGCAACTCAGCTCTCCTTGTGTCATAGTCACGGCGACGCATGGACCTGCGGTGTCCGTCTAAGTTGTCAATTCTGGTCCTACCAAAGAGGTAGGAAGTGGCTTCCCTATCCCGAGATGCCTGGGAAGGATACTTGTCCTGGAGATCTAAAAGGTCTCTCGAAGTAGGAGATCTAAACTTCTCCGTGCTCTCTTTGACCAGTTTCTCACCCCACTTATACGTGGTAACTTTAACTCGACGTTCCGTTTCTTTAGTTCTACCATATCCATCTGCATCTCGTGATCGATTAAGCGTTTTACCGGTGAGCCTGTCGGCAGAAATGTGTCGGTATTCTCCCACTTTGATGTCCCTTGATCGATGTGCTGGTCGCGATCTGTCTGGTTTTGGTATCATTATTCCGGATGAAGCCAGAGGTACGATGTGGGTGTAATCAGGCTCTCTTTTGGTGGAGGATTTCCCCACAACGCTATACGCATTCCCCGCTTCTAAATCGCCCGATAAATTGCGACCGAGTTGAGTTGATTCTCTTGCATGGGAATAACTTCGGTGACGTAGAAGGTTGTGACCTCTTCTTGCTGGCTTCGTCTCTTTTCCCGAGTTTTGTGTTACCTCAGCAGCATCGTTATTGCCTTCAACATCCACTTCTTTCTCCATTCCAAAATGAAAGGATTTTCTCTTCGGTGCTACAGGTGGTAAATCATCTTGGCTCGATGTGATCGACCTGGGTTCTTTAACTGTTTCATCATTGGATGAATTCTTGATATGTGAAGAAGAAATCCAATTGTCATCCTTAAATCCTAGCCTAGATTTGCGAGGGGGTGGTGCAGGTATTACTTCTCCCACCTGATTCTTTTTCTCGATATTTTTGTCGGCATGAACCAGTTGGTTTGGACAAGATCGTGGAGATACAAGTGGTGTGGTGTGGCACGAAGTCGACTGGGATGGAGTTTCACCAATGATCTGAGTTAATCGAACAGGGGGTGTTCGCCGATCCGCATAACTAGGTAGTTCTTTGTAGTAATCACCCTCAATTTCATTTCCAAACTTAGCCGGGGACAGGAATTTCCACGAACTTGTGTACAAAGGGATTTTCTCTTCATTCCACCCAGAGCTCTTATGAAATTTGTCTTTTTTGAAGACTGCTGAAGCTGCTTCGAATCTTTGTTTACGCTCTAATTCTACTAAACTTGTGGCCGAACTGGAATTCATGATACTCGAGTCTGGCTTTTCCGGAGTGGTTTCTCTTAGCGACCGTCGAATACCAGAGTACTTTTGGGACCGATAATAGTCAGCATAAGAATCGACTCCCGATACTGCGATAGTGGGACTCTTTTTCAAAGGACTACTAGTCACCTGAAATTTTTGGTCCGTAATGTCGGTCGAATCGTTCGGAGTGATCCAGCGAGGACTTCGGTTCCTTTGTCGCGGAGATACCTTCAACCGAGCGATATCCTTGGACCTTTCGACACTTATATGCCTCCCGGTGTTTGGTTTGATGAACCCGTGTTCTTTGAACAGGAGTTCGTGTTCGAAGCGATCGGTAGAAGTTTTGACGATCACGGGATTCTGTGGACTGATTCTTTCACTTTCGTTCACAGTTAAAATATTTTTAGACAAATGAACATTTGAGCTAATGGAATCCTTGGCAATTGGGATTTCACCTTCCTTTGGTTGCATGTTCTTCACCATGTTCGGAGACTTCATTGCATCTGAATCGAAGTCAATTTTGCTGCCAAAAGGGATCTTTGTGAACACGATATCGTCTGCTGCATCTACGGTGCCCATTATGTCGGTCTTCCTGCTCATGAAAATTGACTTCAAGCCTTCAGCGTTGAATTTCACAATGTCTTTTATCATCGACGCCACTGGTTTTGCTGAGAGGCTTTTATTTAAACGATTTCTTTCCTCTTCTTCCAAGTTTTTTCTTTGCACCCGTTCCCACTCACGGAGAGAGAGATTCGGTTCCTCTTTGTAATATACAGTCCGTTCTTTCCTTGTTGTTTCACCTCGTTTATTTGAACTGCTGGTTGAATTGCCGTCTGGTAAATCAAACAGTTTGATCAACGCTTGTTTTCCGGAACTATAAGACTTCTCTTCTTCCTTAACGTGACGGTATGAGTCACGTAAACTTCGCCTGGTTTGGAGAAACTCTTTTGAAGTGAAACCATTCACCTGAAGTCCTTCAGAAGTTTTGCGATTTTCTAAACTGAGACTTTTCTCCCTGTGTAAATCCAAATCATTGCTCTCTTGTTCAATTTTTTCTGCAGACTCGTCTCCCTCCAGCTTCTCCATCAAGTTGTCACCTCCCGAATAATGGACTGGCTCCACCTTAGCCATTCCTTGCTTGTGGTACTCAATTTTCCCATCATTTTGGGACGAAACACTGCTCTTTCCCACGAGATTTTCTGTGAGCTGCCTTCTGATAATTTCTATCCTGGCTTTTCTATCCTCATCGGCAGGTTTAAATTGGGAACTAAAGACGGATTTTGGTTTTAGAACTCTGCGTTCAACAGGGGAAATTTTGTATTTTGAATTTCTCATTTCATCATTGGATGAATCTGAGTCGATCTCATCTTCAATGGGTTTCGCTTTGAATGTGAACACTTTTCGAGGCGCAGGTTTGATGTCCAATTCAGCTGAAATCTTTGAAACAAATCTTGGCGACAATATCGGTTCGAGTTTGGGCATAGCTTCTGGTTTAGTCCTGATTTGAGTCTGTGTTTGCGAGAAATCCAAATCTTGTTTTTCTTTATCAAGTTTCGTTGGACTTTTGTGTAAAGACGTCCTGGGTAAAGGTATGGGTGCCTTTTTTACGTGTGTTTCTCTGTCGGAAACCTGATTGTGTCCGTTCAGCGGTGTCGAAGGAAACGATTCTGTTGCTGCGGACTGAAGATTTCCGTCAGTCAGTACCGGAAGATGTTCTTGTTTTTCTAGAGATTCTGCTAAATCTTCTCCTCCCATCAGGAATGTCTGCCTCTTCTCTTTCACCCGTGGGGATCGCGTCGATTTGTCTTCTTCTCTTGGGGTTTTGAGATCATCATCGGTATCCTTAGTCCCCACCTGAAAGTTCACACGCGTGGGACTGGGGCACCTGTAACTTTCTTCGTCATCTGTGGGCAGGAAATATAGGTACCATTTTATTCACTATGATTTTGTATTATTCAAGACAAAGCCTGAAGATAATTATTAGGCTCAGAAATAGAATGTTCTGATATTATCTATTTATAGTGAAACTTTATATTGAGAAATCATAGTAATTACGAAAAGTTGAACTGTGTATAAAAAATTCTTGCAGAGTCGGAACGCTGTATTTCGCCAAAAATATTGCGTGATATTTTATGGAATCCCGACCTGAGAAGAAAGCTTAAACTACGAAGCATAAACATCATGCCACTCATTGTTAGCAAATGGCAAGGCAAACCTCATGGCCTAGTAAAGTGAGTTTAATGCACGGTTATGAAAGCAAACTTACCTGTCTTGAACTGCCATACAATATTAGAGAGCAGAAAACCGTCCTGTTCGTCGTCACTAGGGTTAGGTAAGATAGGAGTTATAGTTGACGTGGATGCCGTGGCATTGAAAGCGTCAATTTTCAGAACCTTCGTATGTCTCTTTTTGATGGGGAGTGGAGGAGGAATTTCTTCTCTATTCAGAACTGAAGTTTTCTTTGGGATCGGAGGAGGAATATCATGATGATGAAAAGGTGTGGTGGACAAAATGGCGGCTGATCCATCTTTTGAGTCGTGAGTAGGAACGAATGATTCGACGCTCATTTTTGAAGAAGTAATGCCAACTGGGTCACTACTTTCCAATGGGACTTTCAATTGACCGTGAGTTTCACTATCTTCACATATCAAAAGTTTCTCAGGGTAAAGACCTTCTGAATGTTTATATGGTGCCGACAATTCAACAAGATGTTCTTGCCTTAAACCAATAACATCGAAATTGACTTCCCCGTTTGCTGAATTGGGATCTTCCTGTACAAGAGTGCCGTGTTGTTGGCAAGTAATCAACGGAATAGAAGTTAACGAATTGACCTCAGATAAAGATGTCGATTCGGTTGTTTTTCGTGATTTTATTTCATTGTGGCAGGCATAACTATCATTTATGATCGAATCTAATTCGACAACTTCTTCTCCTGGCTGTGGTTGATAGTCAACAGGGCGGTTACGACCGGTTTCCATTTCAGTAGAGGACAGCAAAGTAGGAGATTTTTCGTCCACTGAAAACCCATCAGCGATCGTCACTCTTGCAGAATTTTCTGTTAAAGTGTTCGACTTTCGAGATACTTCCGCTTGATATTCGTTTACGTCAGACGATACATCGGCAGCATTTTCGTCCATGTCGTTACCGCTGTCACCAATAGTACCTCTTTGCATAGCGTTGCAGTTTTCATTTTGTAAGACGTCGACGTAAGAGACACTCTTACCTTCGTAGTTTACGATTGTACCTCCTGATGGAACATTCGAGTTTTCATCAGCAGACATCAAACAAATTTTGATGGTTGTAGTTTTGGGCATGAAAGGTGCGTCATTTTTGGATGCAACTTCCACTGATGGTGCACCTTCCTTTGATGGTGTACCATCTATTGATTGTGTATCTAAATACTTTTGCTCGACGTCCATTTCTTCTCCTCTATCGTTTAAATCGTTAAAATCCGGGTTCGATAAATCTTCATTTTTAGAATCTGAAAAAATAAGGGTAGGTGCTTCATCCTCGTCGTTGGTATCGGAAAAAGTCAAGGTCGATGAATCTCCATCATTGGACTCAGTAGAATCAAGGGTAGGTGAGTCTCCTCCGTCATTGGAATCCATTACTATTCCGCTGTCGCTTTGGTCGAAACTTTCAAAAAATCCTTCTTTCTCAGCCCAATCATTTTCGGTGTTGATGGTTAACCCAGAATTAGATTCAATAATAATTAGTTTTAAATCAGAATTGGACTTCGGAGCAATCTTCTCATCCTTAGTTATTATTTCCTCGTGATTATGCAACCCAGACTTGCGATCAACGGGGTAAGTTTCTATGGCTGGCGCTCCGGCGTTCAAGTCAGGTTTGTCATCCGGATAGGTTTCCTTAAATTCAAGACGAAAAAATGCTCGGGAGGACATGTCGACATGACCGTCGACAGCTTTGTGGCTTGTACCACTTCCACTTTTTCTTACGCTTTGCTCTCCCTCAATTCCACTATTGAAATTATACTCTTTTCCTTCGTTCGTATGTGGAACTTGCTTCTCAGAAATACCGATTTCATTATTCGGTGTTCTGATTTTTTCGTCTGCACCGTGGAGCTCTGCCTGCTCGATTGCTCCCAGGACTTGGTCTGGTAAACGCAAGGCGACTTTTGGGGCAGCAGAAGATCGGGATTCTTGCGGCATGATAGACTCCTGAGGTATGATGGACTCCTGAGCTATGATGGACTCATGAGGTATGATGGACTCGTGAGGTATGATGGACTCATGAGGCATGATGGACTCCTGAGCTATGATGGACTCCTGAGCTATGATGGACTCATGAGCTATGGACTCATTAGGTATGATAGACTCTTGGGACATTGTTGACTCCTGAGGCATGAGCGGCGCACTGCTGTCGAGCAGCGCTGATAGAATTTGTTTACTTTCAGCAACCTTCTCAGACGTCTGAATTTCATTGATCCTGTCTGACGTTTCAGCGCCAGTTATCTCGGCTGACGTTTCGGCATCAGCAATGTTTCCTGACGTATCGGTATCATCGATCTTGACAGATGTTTCAACTGCATCACTAGTTGTGGACGCTTCAGTTGAGCTGATCTTAAGCGACGTTTCCGTTTTTTCCACAAAATCTTCACACACATCATAAGCACCTCTCATCTTCTGACAGTTGATGGAGTTGGACTGAATGATGAGATTGTGAACTATCCTTGGCTGTAGAACTCGTCCAGTTAGGTTTCTATCGTTTAATCCTAAAAAAGAGGCCGAAAAGGATTTGTATATTGGAAGGGGTTTCAGGGATGAATCATTGTTCTTTTCATTATTAAAATCTTTAATTCTCTTCTGAACAAACTCAGAAATAATTTTTTTGCCAGGAACCTTTTCTGTCGAATCCAAAGGCCCGATAATCGGTTGTGATCCATCTAAAGAATTTGATCTTTTGTAGTTAGAGTCTGCGGATTCTCCTTTCACGGCTTTCTGAACCACCGGAGCTTGATGAGTTATCACCTTCTGGACGTTTAGGGAGAGAGACGAAGAGATCTTGCTCTTTCCTGAAACTGTATCACAGAATACGAGGGAAGGCTCCTTTACTGTCACTGACAAGTCACGTGAACCAGGGGGGAAATTTATTTTTGCTTCCAACATGCTTATATCGAATTCTGACGTCCCTCTTTCCACTGCCAAATCAGTGGAACAAGACCCTGGGCTTGGGTTTTCACTTTCTTGGTTCTTATCACTGGATTCTACCTCAATAGTTTCACGTACAATCAACATGGATTGCTCGTTCTCCTCCCATGTTCTTTCCGTTGATTCATACTTGTCATCTAGTGATCGCGTGGTAGACGAGTTCCCCATGAAATTTTTCTTAATTTTCGCTACCTTTCCCCGCTTGATGTGTTCGGAGCCTCTTTCGGCAACATGAGTGTCTGGCTGCGAAGTACTTCCTGCAGCAGAATGCAGTTCTTCAGCTAGTGGCAGAAGGAACCCCACCTCTTTTTTAGGGGTTTCCTCGTCCACTTGTGGGGAAGGGTCTTGGTAAGCATCAGTGACATTCGACGACATCACCGATGATTTTCCTTCATGCAGTTCTTGGCACTCACGGTTGCTTTGCTCATAAAGTTTGCCCTCATCGTTTCCTACAGCAAAACTTCTGTCCGAAGTAATTCTTCGGGCATCTTCTTCTTCGTGGACGATCGATTCACATTGGGCCTCATCCGTTTTCGTGGTGGGAATTAACTGATTTTGACGCGACTCATCCTTTTTGTTATCTCCGTCATCCGATAAAGTAGACCTGAAACTCTTGCTTCTGGATTTAATACTTGTATTATTTTCAAACTTATTCAATAACTTGTGAAAGCTAACGGATTTTGTTTGCCTGTATGATGAAGCCCTTGAAGACGCTTTCAAAAATTCTCGATTCTCCTGGCGAGGATCGAGTTCAGTCTCTATTTCCCGACAACCGTCAATTTCTCTACTCCCTAAATTACGGTCAGATGGGAAATCCCTGGTATTTTGGACACTCCTTTTGGTTGAAAATTCATCAAATTGATCACTTTCAATATCGTTCACCATTGGATTTCGGTGGCAGGGTCCGAGAATAGAATTGTTTACTGATCCAGGTTGATTCTTGATGAAATCCATCAATGACCCGCTCGACTGCTTCTTCTTCAACTTTATTCGAGCAAGCCTGATGTCATCGGTGTCTTGGCGCACCAGTTTAGCTTGGGACTTACGATCAGCGTGTGCAATTTTGTTGCAATTTACAACATTTATTTCCTTGCAGTCTTCATTTTGGAGGGAAATTTCTTGCGTTCTGCACTTCCTACTGACGCTACTATCTACGTTAGAAGTTTCTGGCCTCGTGGTATCAGGAATTCCTTTTTCGGCCTCAACTGTGGGAGGAGATGAAATCGGGTTTTGTGTCACATTATCAACAATTTCAGAATGAATTTCTTTGAAGAGTCCTGGAGTCGTTGAGACTGATTCGGATTTTTGAGGTTCACGGATAAACTCCTTTGAACGCTTGCACTCGCTTGCATCTGGACTTTTTAATGTCACAAAATCTTTGAACACCGGTTTGTGGACGATACACAGTGCAGGATCGAATTCCTCAAACGCCACACCAACGTCAGTGCCTATTCCCTTCCCTGATTCCAAATCGATATGGTCCCCGCATTCGTTAGAATCAACCATTGCTGCATTCGATGTTTCAGCCGAAAAGACAGAATTCTGTGATGCCGAAATCACTTCTTCGCTCACATCTAGCGTTCTACAAGGCGTTAGTTGATCCCCTTTCAACCCGACGGGCGAGTCATCAGCTTTTGAAGGAGAAGGTTCTCTGGAAACAAAGTTATGAGTTTCCAAATTAGTCTCTCCACCTTCTACAGGATGGCTGATGCGGTCGTGCTTAGTTGCAACATATGGTCCCGGAAGAAATTCAAGAGTTTCAACCACCCTTTGGCTTTCAGCATTTGATAAAGGTAAATCATCTCTCCCAGGTACAGAATTTTCAAAATAATCTATATCTTTTTTACATTCATCAATTTCATTTTTTGTCTCCACATTACTCGCTGATTTTAATTCCTGTAATCGCATACGCTCCGATTCTTCTGTTGTTTCAACACGGGATTCATCTTTTATTCTATCGTCATTCAGTTTCAGTTTGTTGTAGGGCTCTTGGATTCCTCGAGTCCCAACGGTTTTGAATTCAACATTAATACGAGTCTCATCTTTCAGTTCACTTCCCCTAGTTCGTGATTGGTGACTCGGTTGATTTTCTAGAAATCGTACGCGTTCTATCTGGTTAGGTGGCCACGCTAGGCGTCTCTCAGAAGAGTTTTTGTCCGTTACAACAACGTCCAAGTCTTCGTAAGTCAGAGTAGGGCAGTCGGGACCTGTGAACGGTGGTTTGCATTAGTACAAGCGGTTAACGTGCAAGGAATGCTCGGTTGGGTTGCTTTTGAGGTTTAGGGATTTGTATTTTAGGATTTTGATGCTATTCAAGCTTTCAGGCAAATTTGAAATAGCTGCATATGGGGCATTGTTTAAAGCGTTGCCAGTCTGACTGTGTTAATTGGCAAGGTGACAGGGATCCAATATTCTATGCTACTTTTAGGGCCTGTCAAATGATCGTTTGATTATAAAATTAGGACGGCTTTCTCGGATGTTTTTGAAGTTTGAATTGGGTTACGAGCCTTTTTTTCAAATCATCGATTGTCTTTGCATGGATTTGAATTAAAACTCTCATGCATGCTGAACTGCTGGAAAAGTTGAAGTGGGAGTTTTCTGTTTTCAGTTTGGAATTCAGCCGTTGTGCAAATTTACTTACTCGAAATTGAAGGCAATTAAATTGTACGTAAATTAACCTTCATTGAAAACTTAAATGAATATAGAGTGAATTTATATCGCATTTTCTTTGCTTGTAAATTCTTGTTTACCTGCTGAAATTTTAATGCAAGAATTCGTGGACATTGTCTTAAAAAAATTTAGAAATATTACAACGTGGGTTGATAAATTTTCGTATGTGTCGAATTTCGAATAATTTGAAGGTTGCGACATAATTTAAATAATGCAAATTTTAATGAAAAAATCCTACTGATCAAAATTCTGCTAAATTTAATTTGAACTGTCGAAAAATTACGAAGCAAATAAGCACGGTTATTTTGTAAAACGATTTAATCGAAAGTCGCTGACAACGAAAACAATTTATGATTTTAGTTTGAGGCCACAAATCTACAAAAAACGAGAGTGGTTAGAGTTAATTTTGATTGAACACAGATGCCGTAAGTGTAACATAATAACAATGTTATCCAGACAACAGTTATTGTTAGTAGAACAACACCACAAACCTGAAACATTCCATCCTGCAGGCGAACTCTTCCTTCTTTGCCATTTGGCCCTCTCTTCTTCCTTCAGTGCTTCGGATGTCAGGTTCTCGCTCGACCGTCTTTTCAAAATACTTTTTGGTCTCAATTTCGGCGAAACATTATCGGACGAGATGAACTCTGGCACAATTTCCGCTTTTTTGATGCTTTCTTCTAGAAACCGCATGAGTTCTTCAGTGTTTTCCGTTCCTGTTGGGATGGGAAAGTCGTACTCTTCGACATTTTGGTTGAGTTGCTCAGCCGACATCGTTGTCGGGTCTGGACCCGAAATCGACTCAAATTTCGAGCTTGATTTCGGCTCATTTTTACACTTTGAAGAAATTTTGTCATATGGCGAGTCTCCAAAGTGTGTCACGGGCAGACCCGAGGTGGAATAATGATTTTTGGCAGTCATTTCATTGGATGCATTGCGACCGAATGACTTACTTTCCTCGTGTCGCACTCTTTCGGTGCCTGTTTGAAACTGGACTGGATTGTATACTCTCTCATCTGAAATCCTATTACTTGCATTACCTTGATCTGACTTTCTACGATTTGGAACATCCGTTACTTGTACTTCGCCAAACCTCATTTCTTTGGGTTTGCCAGATGAGGTGGTTTTGCTCACACTCTGTATGCCCCCCCAGTCGCGTTTGAGATCACCGAACCTCACTTCTTCTTTTTGAGCTTGCGGAATCTGGGAATGTGACCACATGTTTGATTTTTCCTCATCTTTATGTTCCCCAGTGATCATGTCTTTAGATCCATCGTTCCTGAATTCGATTTCGTTTGCAAAGGATACCCTGTTTGTTTGCTCCAACTGCTTGGGAGCGGGCAATGCCAGTTGCTGTTTACCTGTTGTCGTTTTTCCTTGTTCCAACATGTTGGCCTGTTGGCTTATGGATCGAAGGTCAGCTTGAACTCGAGCTTGGGCTTCCTCAGCCAGAGCCACGCTAATTCTAGAGGTTTCTTGCCGCAAGTCCTCTAGAGCATCCAGTCCTCCTCTGCTCCAAGCTGAAGACGATTCTGTTAAGTGGGATGAAACTGAACCGACTTCTGTGGTGGAACACAAAGGCAGGTTTAGGGATTCTAGCTTTTTCCTGGCTCTCTGAATCCACTCAGGTTCAGACACCGCAACTGATGATTCTTTATCAGAGTAGTCGTCGATCATCAATTGATTGGTCCTCAGGCTTCTTCTATCCTTGAAGAAACTTATGGATGATCGGTCACTTCCTTCTTCAATTCCGGCGATTTTTGGGATGGTACGTTTGCAGTCACGTTTCAGTTTAAGGAAATGGGACGATTTATCGTTTTGTTTCAGGTGCCATTTTTCTGAGTCTGTTAAAAACCCTCCTTCCAATGACCTCGCTCGGAGTTCTGACTTTGTTTCGGAGTCAGTCAATGATCCTCCTTCTAATGATCTGGCTCGGTACCCCGACTTACTTTCAGAGTCAGCCGATGATCCTCCCTCGAATGACCTCAATCGATACTCTGATGTCAGTCCAGATGGATTTCTGGGCAATTCTTGGCCAACGTATTCGTTCACTTCTGATTTATTTCGAAGACAAAGGAATTTATCTTTTCGAGAACGGGTTGTCGAGTCACTTGGTGCCGGGCTCAAGCAGGCTGGCGACATAGCATTAGCAACAAGTCGGGAGCTTAGACATGGCGATATGTCTGTCAAATTGCTACAGAACAAGTAGTCGCTTATCTTCTGTTTTTCCTTCTCAAGAGTAGGATTGGACTGAACTTTAACCAGAGGACTCTCGCATCTGTTCTCATCTAAGTCTTGATCGAGAGAGCTCAAAGACTTGGATCTTACGGAACTGCAACTCACATACACCGATGACTCTTCTGATTCGATTGAACTTAATCGTTCCCTATTCTCAGAAGCGGATCGTAGCTGCTCTTTAATTTGTTTCCGTATTGCTTTCCGTTCTCGACGTTCCTGTTCGATGGCCCTTTTCTCAATAGTTTCCCTAACATTAAATGCACTAGCGCGCGTAGCACGATTCAATGCATCGCTTTGCTTCACGTACATCCGAGAGGGTGAAGTTGTTTGGGCATCTGCAACTGGAGGGGGTCTGGTCCCGATTGTCACACGTATTCTACCATCCACAAATGGGTCCTGGTGTCGCTCAGGTTCAGAAGACTGAATTTTTCTCAGAGAATGGCGGTGTTTTAGTTTTCTGAGCAATTCCGGACTTTGACTGTTGTGGTTCTGTACCTCAGGAGATGATTTGCTTCTCTTTTTGGTAATTCGGATAACTGTTTTTAAGTTGATCTCCCCTGTGTCCGTCAGACTTTCCCTGTCACTAATGATGAACTCGGTGCTGTCAGATGAAGAAAATTTCTCAACCTTCGACTTTTCGGATGAATGTTCTTCTGAAATATTTTGTTTTAGAACGGATCTTCGATGCAGAAAATTATCACTAGTGTTGAAAATAGCCGGATCCGATGAACGTACTCTCTGGTTCTCGGAAACAGTTGACGAAACTTGCGATCTCGGTGTTAGAAAATCCGACGGGGATCCTACACTTTCGTCGAAACTTGATATATTTTGGGTGTCGTTAAATTGGGACAAGTATTGTGTCCTGATCTTCGAGCGGGTTTTTGGTCCTAACGGGTTATTGATAACAGGGGTAGAACGGCTCCTAGATTCAGTCACCGAATCAAACAAAGGTCCTTCTTGCTTGAATTCGTTAATGTTCGTGATCGAAAGCTTCCTTTCGAAGAACTTTTGGACTGGATTCGTTGGGAAGTGACGTGATTTATCAATTTTAGTTGAAGCTAATTCAAACTTGGGTCCTCTAAAATTATCAAATGCTTCAAATTTCTGGATTCGGCTTCTCACACGGGGATTTATGAGAGTTGAGTTTTGACTGGACTCTTCGGGTGAACCGGAATGAGTATTTTGTGTATGAAATTCGCTTGGCTTGTTACTGTTGAAAGATCTCTTTTGGAAGTCTTGTAAGCTTCTACTTAAACGTCCAGCTGATGTTTCGCCAAAAAGTTTAAGTATGTCGTGGATTTTCGTTTCCCCGTTTGGTTTGCGGGCCCAAATCGAAGAGGTATCGACACCGGCTGTGGTTTTTGCATCCACAGGTTCCGGAAATACGGTTTCTGCTGTTGATTTGTTTCTGGGTTTGTTGTATTCGTATAGGTTACCGTGAGAGATCGAGTAACGACCTCTGGGACTAGATCCTGAAGAATTACTGTAATTCGACTTTTCGACGGGAGAAAGTTTACCATCAAGATCGTTTCGACCCGGAAATAGATTTGAAAGATTTCTACCTACTTTGAACGACGAACTTGAGTTTTTGAGATCCGACGAATTTGTGAACGAAGATATCAAACTTTCTCGTGGACTTTTAATATTTGGAAACCCAGAATTATTGATGGCACTTGGATATCCAGTTGAGTAATAGCTAGAAGTCGACGATGGATTATCTCTTGAGTTTAAACCGTAATCCGATATGATGCTCCGTGGACTAGATGTTTGGTTTTCTTTTGGCACTAAGCTTTCGCTTTCAATTTCGTTTCGGTTTAAACTAAAAAAATCTTCAAGCTTCCGCTGTCCTTGATTCTGAGAATTTCGTTGCTTTTCTCTCTGTAAATCCCAATTATTCTTTTGATTTTGTTGTTGAATCCCAAAATTAATTTGATTTCTCTGATTCTTTAGATTCTTCTGGTTTGGCTGCTCAGTTTCCCAATTCCACTTTTTTATTCCAGGATCCTGCCAGCTTTGTTGGTTTTGTCTTTGATTCGTCCAAAAATTCTGGTTGATTTCTCGATGTTCGGGGCAATTTTGATGTTCGGCTGCAAATGTTGGGGCTGATTGTGCTTCAGGCTTGTTGAATGAAGGACGATTTATTGAAGCCCTTGTTGAAGGGAAGTTTGTTGTTCGTTGAAGGGGTGTTGAGTTTTTGACGTTGCCGAAGTTTGAACCCAAATCAACTCGCGATGATGGCTTGATGAAATGTGGTTGGAGAGATGACCCTTGAAGGTACGTCAGAAGTTTCTCCTGCGGACAACAAAATTATTTTAGGAAGATAAGAGATGGCAAAGATTCTGAATTTATGAAGATAAGAAATAACAAAGTTTTTAAATTTAGGAAGTTTAGAGATAGCAAACATTCTAAATTTATGAAGATATGAGATAGCGAAGATTCTAAATTTATGAAGTTAAGAGATAGAAAAGATTCTAAATTTATGAAGATAAGAAATAACAAAGATTTTAAATTTAGGAAGATAAGAGATAGCAAAGATTCTAAATTTGTGTAGTGTACATATATGACACTGCTGTGTTTTTAAATATATATAGCGATTTTATATATAGTGATTTAATAATAATAAAAGAATAATATAATTAATTTATAGTGATTTTACATAATATTTTATACATTTTTAGCAATTTGATTCACTGCGAAGTGAGGAGAGGTTTAATTAAAATCAAAATTAATATTTTTATTTTATTAGATAGCAAATTTTCAAAAATGGTAAAGTTCAAGTTTCCTTAATTGGCAATTAACAAAAAATTCTATATTATTTAAGTGGATGCGTATTTTTCTCACCGCCATTACATCAAATATAATTATGATGGAAATTCCGGCACCCAATGGATATTGATGGATATTGATTATGTAATGGATATTGATGGACATTGATTACCCAATAGATATTGATGGACATTGATTACCCAATGGACATTGATGGATATTGATTACCTAATGGATATTGATGGATATTGATTGCCCAATGGATATTGATGGATATTGATTACCTAATGGATATTGATGGATATTGATTACCCAATGGATATTGATGGATATTGATCACTTAATGGACATTGATGGATATTGATTACCTAATGGATATTGATGGATATTGATTACCAATGGATATTGATGGATATTGATCACTTAATGGACATTGATGGATATTGATTACCTAATGGATATTGATGGATATTGATCACCCAATGGATATTGATGGATATTGATCACCCAATGGATATTGATGAATATTAATTACCCAATGGATATTGATGGATATTGATCACGGCAATATCCAATAACAATACATTCAATATCCACAATATCGCTGTAGCTCGAGTAGCTGTAGCGTGGGACTGCAGGTGCATCGCTACGCCTACACGCTACATCGACACGTCGCTACACCCACGCTAGCTACATCTCGGGGCTACAACCCCTACTGGTTTATTTGCCTAACTAAACCCCTACTGGTTTATTTGCCTAACTAAACCCCTACTGGTTTATTTGCCTAACTAAACCCCTACTGGTTTACTTGCCTAACTAATCCCCAGTGTGTACACTGTAATAAAAATCACCGTTGAACGGTCTCACCGGCGTTCTAGCGGCCGGTCGACACGTGAAAAGAAACACCATATGGCCGTTTTTATTCAAATTTAACACTAGAAACCCGTACAAAATCTGAAAAAACGGATAAACGGTTTATTTTCACGTGGCTACCGTTTTTCTACCGTTTTTCGAACAATGTAGCGTGTAGCTAGCTACAGACAAGCAAAGAGAAGTGAAACAGGAATCACTAGGAAATGGGCCAGGATGAATAAAGAGTAGGTAATTCTGACTCTATTTCATGCTATAATATATAATTATATATATACTATAATGACTGATGCCGGTTGAACTGTAGTGTAGACTGATGCAAGTTATATACTTTTATAACTATAATATATAGTATACTATAATATTTTATAATATAATATAATTTAAAATTCACATTCACCATCGGTACGGTCACATTCACAATCACCATCATCAGTACGGCAGCGATTTTGCAGAAACATCATCGACTATGAAGACGAACGCCGTTGCGGAGATAGCTGCCGACCGTACTGGCATGACGGTCACCACATTAGAAACAACCCTTGGCGCCAATTTTAGGGTCCTTATATAGGCAGACGTCGCACACACATAACGGTACGTACGGTCGTCATAAAGTCTACGGCCAGACTGACCGTGAAACATTTATATCATCGAGACACGACGGCTATGGAGCAAGAACGACCGCGGATGCGCGGTTACGGATCCGGTACGGCCGCTGGAAATACGGCCGCAACGTGTGCGTTCATTATACGGTCGTTTACAGCAATTGTATGACTAAATGGATCAACGGTTCTAGTATATACAGAATTTTTGGTGACTTTATATGGTCGTTTACAACAGTCGTAAGACTCTCAACGGATCAACGGTTCTAGTAAATAGAAAATTTTTGGTGATGTTAACTGATAGGTTCTCAGTTTTGATTGTATTCAAATAACCTTTTTCCATGTAATAGAGATTTAGTTAACGTAGGATATGAACGTAAATATCCCAATTTAATATAAAATGTGATAGCGTTTCATTACAACCCTCTCTCTGTTCTATTTTTGCAGTAATCTATTCATAAGATGACTTACTAAGTGCCTAAAATTAAGCCATTACGGACAAAATTAGCGCAAATGACCGAGCGATAAAAATCAAATCTTCAATGTCGTAATAAATTTCTATAAACCTTACGGAAACTTTTCCTATTAAAGAAATAGAACTTTAATCATATGATTGCCGGTGTTATCGATGATAGCCTGTAGCGGTCAGTTTCGGCTTAAGAAAACTAGTTTAAGGGACATTAGATCTCTTATAACCGTTTGACAACTTGTGGCTTCTCACGTTGTCTCACGGCTGAGTCACAGCCGTAGCAATAATGTTGACCGTACATATATGGTGAAGTCGTGGCCGATGCTTGTTAATTTTTGACGTTGTTATATCGGAGTCGTGGTGGTATGAATGACTCGACGTTTCGCGCGGCCGTTATTGTGCGACCCGCCGTCCAACGGCCGGAGCCGTTGCGGAGATAGCTGCAGACCGTACTGGCATGACGGTCACCACATTAGAACAAACCCTTGGCGCCAATTTTAGGGTCCTTATATAGCAGGACGTCGCACACACATAACGGTACGTACGGTCGCCATAAATTCTACGGTCAGACTGACCGTGAGACATTAATATCATCGAGACACGACGGTTATGAAGCAAGTAGATACATTACGGATACGGTACGGCCGCTGGAAACACGGCCGCAACGTGTGCGTGCATTACGGTCGTTTACAACAGTCGTACGACTCAACGGATCAACTGTTCTAGTAAATAAATAAATTTTGGTGACGTTAACTGATTTGTTCTCAGTTTTGATTGTGTTCAGATTACTTTTTTCCTGTTCTAAAGATTTTGTTAACGTTGGATATGAACTTAAATTTCACAATTTAATATAAAATGTACCAGTGTTTCATTACAACCCTCTCTCTGTACAATTTTTGCAGTAATTTATTCATAAGATGACTCAATACGTGCCTAAAATTAAGCCATTACGGACAAAATTAACTCAATTGACGACCGAGCGATAAAAATCAAATATTTGATATCGGTAATAAATTTCTATAAACCTTAAAGAAAACTATTCCTATTAAGGAAATGGATCTGAAATCAGCAGAAAATGGGTCAAGAATCACCAGTAAGTGGGTCAGAATCACCAGTAAAGAAGGACCGTATTGCCGATTTTATTCAAATTTAACACTAGAAATCCGTAAACGTCTGAAAAAACGGATAAACGGTTTATTTTCACTTGGCGGGCGGTTACTAGAACGCCGGTGAGACTGTTTTTCTACCGTTTCACTAGGAAATGGGCCAGGATGAATAAAGAGTAGGTAATTCTGACTCTATTTTATACTATAATATAATATATATAATTTTATAACTATAATAGATACTATACTATAATATTTTATACTATAATACTGAAAATAGCTATTGTAAAGTGGAGAAGTGACTGAACTGTGTTAAGCAATTATAGGCAGAGTGAGACTTGACCGCAAAGTAAGGGAAGAAAACCGTGAGACCGAGGGTTTGTTAATAGTCTGGAATGGCCGAGGGTATCAGAGGGCTGACCCTTGTGGAACTGCAGCCATACTTTCAAAACTCGCTAAGTGAACGTAAGTACTAACGCTCTATTTTCTTGTCTATGATTGGTGGATTTTACTTGAAAGGCCATCAATGATTGGCTGATGAACTTACGATCATTTAACTTTCTTGAAAGTACAGGCCCTGGAAACTGTCGCGGCGTCCTGCTATATAAGGGCCCTAAAATTGGCGCCAAGGGTTGTTTCTACAGTGGTGACCGTCACGTCAGTACGGTCGGCAGCTATCTCCGCAACAGCGTTCGTCTCCATAGTCGATGATATTACTTCAAACTTGTTGCCGTACTGCTGATGATGCTGAATGTCACAGTACCGATG